GCGGGAGGAAGCCAAGGCTCATGGGCAGGGCGAGCATGCGAGGAGCAAGCACAGAAGCCAAGCTGCAGAGCTGCGAGGAAGGGGCCTGTGTTTTTGTACACGTGCTCCGTGCCTCCCGGGAGGGGGCTGTGCCACCCAGGTCCCCGTTCCTGCACCAGGGCCGAGGGAGAAGCTGGTGGGAGGCACTGAGACCTCCCAGAGCTCTGCTGCCACAGCTTTCGGGTGACGTGGGCGCAGAAAAGGGACAGTAAAAAAAAAAAGACACAGGCCACTTAAGCACAGAAGCACCCTGCGAGGATGCCACGAATGTGCTAAAGCTTCTGGAAAAAAACAGGCCCCATACCCACCTGGCAGCCCACCAGGAGCAAAAGGCCTGGCCCAGAGCTTGCATCAAAGTGCAGCTCGTCCGGGGCCAGCGGCGCTGCCAGAATGACGGCCTGGGCTGGGGGCCAGCGGGGCAGCTTGTCAAACCTCCGCCAGAGCCCGGGGCCCGGGCTGCTGGGGCTCAACGTCCCGAGGCCTCCAGCTCGTGCTGGGCTCACCACGTTCACGCTCGCCGGTTCTGGGTAAGCGGGAGAGCTGGGGGACTTTGAGAACGCCTAAACTCAGCCCAGCTGTGGCAGTTGGTTTATTGCTTTCAGCTGGTACTTGAACCCGGGTCCTGGTCTTGGAGTCTTTCCCAGGTTTAATCCCCGGAGCTTTCTCTGCAGCTGTATGACACTGCGCTGACCCCGAATGAGGATAGGAAAATAGAAACGGTGCCAAGCCAGAGTCTCTTTTTCATTTGGAGTCTGGCTGTCTGCCCATGACCAGGGTTACATAATGGGAAACATAGCTGGGGCTCTGGAGAGCCCGCGTTTCACCACGCTGCCCAGACCTTCGCATTCTGATGCTATATATCTTCCTAATTGTAGCTCGGATGCATTTATCACACTGCTGGATTTGAGTCCTTACAATAAAAAAAAAAAAAGCAGCGCACCAAATTCCTCCGCCCGCTGCTTTCCCCCTTGGACGGAGGCGGAGGGGAAGGTGCGAGGGGTGAGCGCGGTGCCGAGCCACGTGGGAGTGGGCTCTGCGGGGCTGGAAATGGTGCTCGGGGGGGCTTGGTCGTGGGGTTTTTGTCTTGGCAGCGAGGTGGGAGTGAGCAGGCATCCACTCCCGAGCTGGGAGAAGCTGCACCTCTCCCAAACTCCCTGCCCCGGCACGTGGATCCGGCTCTCAGCCCCACCCGGATAAGGGCTGGGGCTCAGGGGATGCCTTGGGAAATGGGTTTAGGCTGCGAGGCCACGGAGAGGTCTTGGGCTACCGAGTGTGTTGGGGAGGCAGAGCGCTTCCTTCCTCCTCTGCCTCTTCTGGAGAGGCTCAGCAGGTTTTCCTTGGTCCTTTTTCCTCTGGTTTTATTTTTTTTTTCCTGTGGTCCTCTTTTCTCTGGGTTTTCTAAACCAGGAGCTAAACCCGAGCGTGGACACCTCTGCCTCGGAGCAGCAGAGCCCCGTGTTTTGGGGTTGTGTGTCTGGAGCAGGCTGCTTGCAGCTCTCCCAGCTCCTCTGGCTGCACGCAGCTGTCTTAAAACACGTTTACCTTTGAGCACTCTTCACAGCAAGCATTGCGCCAAGGTCCAAGCAGGAGCTGTTGATGCAGTGCATCAATGTGCATCTTGCAGACCTGCTGGCCCCGTGCGTGCCGTGCAGGGATGGGAGGTGAAATAAAGGGGTCTGGAGGAGCAGGGAGCAGTGCGTTTCTTCAGGCACGGAGATGAGCAGCAGCCGGGGTGAAAAGTGAGCCTCCAAGGAGGCTGCTGTCATTCCGGTGAATCCCTCTCCTCTTGAGACGTGTGGCTGAGGAGCTGAGACAGGCAAAGGCAGGGCACCGAAGAGCAGGGCTTCTCCTTGCTCTGTTTTGTTGCTGTTGGAACTAAACAAAACCCAAATATCGATAGGGAAGCCAATGGCTCGACAGATAACCTGCCACGGGTCCAACCCCGGAGAATCCGCGCTCCTTTGGTGCTGGAGCAAAGGGCCTCTCGGTCTGCGGAGCCTGTCTGCAAGCATTTAAAAATGGTTAATTTGAACCGAGTATGAAATGAAATCCAAAAGCTCTGAGCACATTTGAGAGCTTACCTTCCTGGGGAGATCTGCCAGATCTCTCTCATCGCATCGCTCTTGTGCAGAAGTGTCACCGCGATGGCAGCTCCCGCTGGGGGAGATGGACGGAGCCGGAGGCGAGGGTGCCAAGACCTTGCTGGAGTTTGCGGGAGACGAAATGGAAAATCCCTTTCGCAGACGTGAGCCTTGTTAGTAATGCTGGCCACCAGAGTTTCCCTATCAAGACATCAAAGCAAGGATCCGGAGGTGTCTCGGTAGCGTAAACCTGGCCGAGAACGAAGGTGAAGGCGAGGGAAGTAGGGGCCAAAAGGCTCCTTGGAGAAGGGCTCTGCTTTAAAGCAGAGGCTGGCTGGGGGCAGACGGCGTGCCTGTGGGTGAGGAGAGTGACCCTGCGGCTCTGCGGGCAGTGTCCTGGGGGAGGGATGGGTTTGTGGGGCACCCGAGTGACCGAAGGGACCGTGTGTAAGGCAGAGAGGGGCAAAATCGTTGGCACCGTGGGGCAGAGGGGCTCGGATGCTGTCCCCTCTCCACCCACAAAAGTTCTCCCCACATCCAAGCACGGGACACGGCTGGTGACCTCTTTAGGGACGAGCTCCCACCCCGAACCCCTTTTGTCCTTTCCAGCGGAGCTGCTTTTCCTCCGGCTTCCCCTGGGCTGGGCCAAGGGGGGTGGGAAAGAGGAAACCTGGGAGCGGGACACGGAGCCCGGTGCACGGGGCTGGGGCTGGCTCCTCGCAGAGCCCCGGGAGCGCGCCAGCCCAAGTCGTTTGCCATCTGCACGGCAGCGCGGCTCTTGGCGGCTGGGGAACACAATGCAGGGCTTCTTTCGCTCCGCTCTTTTCCGGGTTTGTTCTGCAGCTGTGGAGTTTTGAATGTTAGTGTTTAAACAAGCTGGTATTACACAGGAAATGGCCACCTCCACAGGCCCCCGCAGGCTTGTAACATGGGGTCATTGTACTTGATATTAATCACCAGGCGGCCCGCTCCCCCAGCGAAGACGGTGGCTGCGCAGCGCCAGCCCCGGCCACCGGGGATCCAGGCTCGCTCCGTGCCCCCCGTGGGCATCTCCCCGGTGCCCTCTGCTCCTCCCCACCTTGCTGAGTGTCCCACGGCCCCAAAAGTCCCCCGTTATCCCAAGTGGGAGCCGTCCCCACGCCGTATCAGCGCGGCCACCCCGCGCCCCCCGCGCTCAGCCGCGCACTTGTGCGGCTCCCCTCGTCCTCGGGCTGCGTCCTGTCGGCCTGCAGCTGGGCTGCGCTCGCACTGACAGCTACATTAAACCTGGAATCCTGAGGCAATAAAAAAGAAATTAACTCTTATTTTTTTTTCCCCCCGTCCTGGGGGGAGAAGCAAATGGAAATGCGTCCGCGGGGAAGCGAGCGAGCCCCCCGTTCGGAGGAAAGACCTCGCGCTCACCCCCTCCTCGCTTCCTCGGTTAAAAGCTCTGGGAGCCCCGGCCGTGTACCTGGGAGCTGCGTGCCTGGGCTTGGCGTCAAAAATTCGGCACCTCCCTCCGTGGAGGGAGGCCGAGGCCGTGGCACCGCGCAGACGGAGCCCTTCCAGGCAGCCTGGCCTGCGGGGGCTCGGCACGGTGACACAAGCCAGAAGCGCCTGGCTGCGGTGTGCTAGGAAGGGGCAGCAGGGAGAAGGCTCCTGGCCGGGCTGCCCGGGGCTGGGTGACCTGCAACAGGAGCAGGAGACCCGCAGGGAGCCCTGGCTGGGGGGGTGGCAGCCAGGAGGTGCTCGTGGCGGTGCCGGGGGGCACCCTGCAGAGGGGGAACCTCTCCAAAAGGGAAGGTTGAAAACTCTCGGACCCGCTCTCTGTGTTACCTCCGAGTCGTAGGAGAAAAGCAGAGCAGAAAGGCCAATTTCTGCTGCGATGCTGGGTTTTTTTGGAGGCTCTGGGAGATGCTGCACGTGCCGGGGTGCTGCCCGGCCCCTGGGCGCTGCGGCCGAGCTGCTGGGGGCTGCCTGCAGCAGGAACTCGCTGCCCGAGGAGCCGGCGCACGCAGCCTGCGGTCTGACTGAAGGAAGCCCAGGGTGGAAACCTAACACGTGCAGCGCGAGTGACAGATGTGGCGAGGCACTGCGGGGAGCGGGGCATGAAGAGGATGAAGTGACAGGGACAGCTCTCACGCTCGGGGGGCTGGGGCTGCCCGAGGGGGGCTGCGGGCTGGCAGCGTCAGCTCACATGGCCGGTGCCGAGCCCCGTGGCAGGAGAGGGCTCCCTGAGTCTAATTTGTGCCGTGCCGTCACCCCACCACCACTGCTGGCCCCAAAACGTGCCTGGATCTGGGTCCCTGCCCTGCCCCGCATCCTGCTGCCACCCTCAGCCCTCCTCCCTCGCTGGTTCTCCCCATCCCTGCCTGCAGCCCCGTTCCTTGACCTCATTTCTTTCCTTTCTCCTCCACCCCGGCCCCGTGCACCTGGCTCTCTTAGCCACCTGGGAGCATCCCCGGCACCACGACGTGTTCCTTCCTCCCCGTCCCTCCCTCCCTCCTAGCGCTGCCCGGAGCCTCGGCAGCTCCTTCGGGGCCCCTTTGGCACGATGTGAGCGGGCTCAGGCAGCACGGCCCCGCTGCCAGCAGGGTGCTGAGGGCCGGCTGAGCCTCCCTGCCCCAGCGCATCTCCCCTGGGCAGAGCTCGCCTTGGAGGTGGCCCAGAGCAGCCCTATCGCATCCGGTGCTTGTCTCTGCAGCCCGGGCCGGAGGATAAACTATCAGGGCTGTGGGGCAGTGGATCATTCCTCTTATTATTTTCTTCTTTTGCAGATAGGGGTCGTGGAAAGTTCAGTTCCTTTTAACCCTCACAGCTCTGTTTATTTTCCAGCTGGTAGCACAAACGCAGCGTTTCCCATTACATCACAAAGGGCCTCGGACAGATCCCTCCGAAAAAAAAAAAGAAAAAAAAAAAAGTGTTGCAACTGTTTATTTTTTTCCATATTTAAACATTTCTGACAGCCAGACCTGGCTGAGCCAAGCGATGGAGCTTTGTGAATGAACCCAGCTCCCGGTGTCTGTGCGCAGAGGGCTTTGAAGGACCTCTTCTCCTCTGCAGCGCGCTGGCCGGGGCTGGCTTCAGGACGTGGGCGACTCTGCGGTACATGTGTGCTGATTACGTGCCGGGCTTTGATTAATGGCCGCTCGTTCTGCCTGGCTCCCAGGACGCTCTTGAAAACAAGATGTTTCATTTCAGTGCGCTTTCCTGGTACATTGATTCCCGTAAATAACCGAGCGCAGACTCTGTCCACCTGGAGCAGTTCAAAGAGCAGGGGGCCTCTCTCCAGCCCGCGCCTGCCTCGGGCCGCCCTGGTCACTGCTGCACCCCCGGGTGCTGCTGGCTGCTGCGCCGTGGGGCGAAGGGGCAGCTCCTCGTGGACACCAGGAGCAGATCAGCCCCGGTTTCCTCTCTTCCCTGCTTTTTTTCCCAGTTTACGGGCTAAAAAATAACCCTACGCAAGTGGTTTTAAAGTCGGAGTGAGCGGTGCGGTACGAGGCAGCCCGGCTGGATGCGGTGCCCAGTGGTTGTTGTGTGATTTCTCTGTGCTCTGAGCCATCCTGGGATGTGCTCGTTGTCTGTGGCATGGGGATGTGTGATGGGGATGTGCCCAGACATGGGGATGTGCCCTGGGGACGTGCACAGAGCACCCCAGGGCTGCCCGTGGCCTCGTGCTGGTGCCCCACTCCCTGCACGTGGGTGCCAGCGAGGTGCTGGAGCTGCCTGTGCAGGTCACCCACCAGTGCTGAAGCCGTGGCCAGAAGCAAAACACGAGCTAACCCCACGAGGCTGAGGTTCAGCTAAAAAAAATGTCTCTTTTTCAGCGTGTGGCTGCAGCACACGATGGCAGCAGGTAGAGCTGGGCGAAGGAAAGGGTGCCTGGGCTGGGCTGCAGCCCCCCGGGCGCTGCCTTCACCCCTGCAGCAGCACAGGAAACGTGTCCTGTCTTCCCAGCCTGCTTGGAAATTGAGCAACGAGCGGCGTTTCTCCCATCTGGAACGAGCCGGGTTCCTGCTGGGGCTGCCAGGGGCTCTCCACAGCGGGCAGAGCCGGGCAGGGCGTTGGGTTGGGGCCGGATCCTGCCCGGAGCCGTTCCCCATCCGGGGAGCTGGAAGGCTCGGGGTCGGCTCTGGCTGGCTCGGGGTGAGGGTTAAAAGCCCTGGCGGGTTCGGTGCCAGTGCAGCTGTGTCCGGAGCCCTCCCCGTGGGGCACGTCGGCAGCGGCGCGGGGCGCGGGGTGGCGTGCGTTGCCTCATCTCACCTCTCTGGTATTCGCTGCAGCGTTGCAGGCAACTCCCAACGCATTCCAGCCCCGAATTGCTCACGTCTCTCCTCGTTCTCCCAGGGTCTCAGTAGATGTGTGGGCGACGCTGGCTGACTTCTGCAACGTACTGACCACGGTGAATCAGTCGGAGGTGCCCCTGTACAAGGACCCAGATGACGACCTTGCCCTGCTCAGCCTGGAAGAGGATCGGCTGCTCTCGGGCTTCGTTCCCCTGCTGGTCGCCCCCCAGGAGCCCTGCTACGTGGAGAGGACCTCGGACAAGGTCAGCAGTAGGCCAAACATCCCCCCTCGATTCCTCCAGACTTTTATTCTTGGGAAGTTTTCTGTGCAAACGGAACACGATTAAGTCATTGAGAAGGGTGTTAAGGGAAAATATCGACCTTTCAGCCGCTGACATCCAGCTCTGTGTCATGAAAACCCCTCTCGACTTCCTCTGGTGTGTGTGTGCTCGCTGGCATGTTGTATATACGATCATTTCCTCACTTGTTTAAATAGTGCAGCTTGTGTTGGCAGTGCTCTCGGTGCACTCCAAATGGTTTGCATCATGCTTAAAGCACCCTCCCCCTCCCCCCGGCCACAAAACTCTGCCTTAGGAAGGCAGCCAGGACTTTTTTCCTTCTCTAAAGAGGAGAGTGATAAATAGGTGACTAGAGAGAAGCAGACACCATGTGTTAACGTACAAAAGGCTTTTAGGAATATGAAGCATTCCCCACTGCCCCGCTCTCTATTTTCCTTTCTTTGCTCTAGGAGCCCATTCTAGCCTGAACTTTCCTTGGGCTGTTTGTTTTTAGAATAATGAAATCAGTTCCCTTGTTGATGTGGGGTTTGGGGTCTGCTCCTTGCCACCACCTGGCCAGAAGGGACCCGGGGGCTGCCTCGGGATGGGATAACGTGCCTGAACCTGAGGGGGGGATGGAGGAGGCACAATGGCATTTGTTTTGCACGCCCTCGGAGGCACGGCAGGATGAGAGCGGCTCTCCACGGTTTCCTGCTCGGAGGCAGAACCCGCGGCAGCACCAGCGGTGCCGAGCGGGGCAGGCGCAGCGCCAGGAGGAGACGTGGAGCTGCAGGGACTTTAGTCCAGGGTAAAAAAAAAAAAGGATTTTCAAGGCTCTGTTTGGAGGGGTTAAATAGCAAGCGCGCCCCAAGGAAGCGCGTTTGCTCGGCGTGTGCTGCTGGCCGTGGTGGGGTTCTGCTGGGGACAATCCCTGTCCCAGCTCCCTGTGCAGGGATTCCTTCCCCAGCAGCCCCAGACCCAGCACTGAGCCTGGTCTGGTGCCCCATAACACGGTCTGGTGCCCCGTAATGTGGGCTTGTGCCCCATAACGTGGTCCTGGTACCCTAAATGTGCCAGAGGGGGCCGTTATTCCCTGCGGCCTGGCTCCTCTAACCACACACCGCTTTATTCGGAGTGCCATCTACCTGCCCTGCCAGGCACTTGCGCTCACGTGCGTGTAAAAGAGGAGCAGCACCTGTCCTACAGCCACTCCTGGGCTGCAGAGCTGTTCTGTCCCCGTTTCAGCTCGCTGTGACCCTCGTGCTGAACGCAGGCACCGCACAGCAGCACTGCTGCGAGCAGCCACCCTGCGGGGTTATCGGGTGTGCTGCTGCCAGCTCAGCCCTGCCTTCCCTCCTCACACCCCAGAGAGAAGGAGCCAGGCTTGGATGTCCCATCCGTGCCCCTCTACACTCTTTTTTTTTTCACCTCCCCAGCGAGTTGTGTTTGCTTTGAGCGTAGCTGACCTTGGAGCGGTGATCCCAGCCGGCACGCCGGGCTGTCAGCTCCTGGTTGTGCACGTCCTGGAGCCCCTCGGTGCGTGCTGCGGTGTCCTGGCCTCCGCCTGAGCACCACGCACACCACACCAGGGGGGAGAGGAGGCCACCAGCACCACCAGGACGTGCTGAGCAGGAGCAGCAGGGCCTTTCTGCGTCCAGCACTGACTGGTTTTACTGAGGGTCCGGCTGCTGACCGGCAGCTGTGCGTAATCACTCTGCAAAGGGCATCAGAGGGGACGAAGGGGGGCCGGTGGGACAGAGCAGGGAACTCAGATGCCCGACTTCCGAGAAGGAACTGGAAGAGCTGGGGCGTTTTAGGCTAGAGGAAATTCGGGGAAAACGCAGCCAGCTTGCAGCTACAGAAAAAGCTGTCGTGGAGAGGAGGAGAACAAGCTGTCCTCCAGCTCCATGCTGAAAAACGCAGGAAGGAATGGGCAGAAATTGCAGCAAAATAGATTAAGATTAGACTGGAGGAAAGGCTTCATACCTGAGGGTGGTTAAGCACTCGAAAGCGGGCTGCTCAGTGCTTCTGCAGAATCTCTTCAGCGTTAAGAGACTTCTAAAAGCGGGCTGGGCAGCTCTCTTAGGTACAGCTTGGGTGGAGCGAGCTGCCTTGGGAAAGGAGACAAAGTGACCTCTCCGCACCTCCCGGCCCCGTTTGTGTGATTCGGTAATGCTGTGGAAAGGGCCCGGAGTGGCAGCAGCTGGGTGATTGCAGTCAGATGCCGGCCGTGCTCCACAAATCTTCTCTTTCTGCCCTGTTAGCGAGGTGAGCTACTTGCCAGTGCAGAAACGTTGCGGTAGGCAGCGCAGGACGGATCGGGAAGGTATGGCTGGGGCGTGAAGCAGTGCACCTCTCACGGGTAACCATGAGTAGCACACACCAGGGTACTTTCCTACAAAGAAAACCCCAGTTCTACTCATCCTGAGGATCCTTAAGTGCAGTCCCTGGTCCCCCCTTCTGCTCCCTGCCCTCCTTGTAGTGCGCAGAGCCCAACAAATCTGACTCCCCAGCAGAGGCACCCGGGCTGCTGGCAGCGGAGGGATGCTGTGCCCATACGCTGAGCTCTCTTTTCCATACTGATTTTTCCCTGATGATTAGCAAGTTTTTCTTCTGTACCCCATTGCTTTCCTGCTCTCGGGCTTGGCCCAGTTTTCAACCCTCTGTTCGTGGCAGGTCTTTGCTGGAGACACACAGGCCATGCACTGCTCTTTGTACGGCACCCTGGGAATTTCTCGTGAGCTGGGGGGAGGATTTTGGTACGTCGGAGTGGCTCAGGGAAGCTTGCTGTGATACTTTTCCTATTGCTTGCGTGGCTGGGATATCTCACCTTGCTTGCTGCTGCTCCAAAGGGTCACCCCCTGCTTTCAAACTCCAGTTTCTTCATGAATTTTGGAGAGATTCAGAGGAAGGGAATCTGTTTAAAGGCAAAGCTGGAGTGCATTGGGCTTAAAATGGTGTTGGGTTATTGGCTCCACCAAGAGGATGGTTGTTTTGCGAGCTCTGAAGGACAAACACTGCGCTTCCCCCCTTCTTTTTGTTTTCCGTGACCCATTTAGCAGATGGAGTGCAGAATTCAGCCAGAGTTTCTCAGCGAGTTGCTGAGCGCTTGGCCTGGCTCTTATTTTGAGTGAAAATGTTCTGACTCCGTTCGTTGCCATGAAGCTGTGTGTCAGGATTCCTGCTGGAGCCAGTGTGATGCTCCGAGCTTCCCATCGTCTCCTGCACTGTCATTGAAGCTGTAACCAACAAAAGCTGGCTGCGGGGCGCGCAGAACTCGGGGATGTTTTCCTGGGCGTATGTTGGGCAGATAGCCACTGCAGCTTGTGTGATGGAACACCACCGACCCTACCAGTCAACGGCAAACTATGCAGCCTGGTGCCTGGGCTGTCAGAGCGTCTGCAGCTCTCGCAGCCCAAGGAAAACGCTGCCAGGGATGGGAGCCCGGGGTAAAAACCCTCGGACCCCTGGGGTGAGAGCAGGGAGGCTGCGGGGAGAGGGAAGGTGAGGGCTGGGGATGGCCCAGGCGCTGCGTGGTGCTGCTGAAGGGGGGCCCTTAATGGAAAACACTCGGGTTGTGCTGAGGTTAAAGCCAATCCTGGTGGTGGTGCATCTGAGATGCGTGGGGGGCGGGGGGGGAAGCTGTTTTTCTGCCCTAATTGCTGCGTTTCTGGGAACTTGGGGCACAGGGGCACGTCCTGCTTTCCTCGCCTGGTGTCTCAGGAGCATCCTGCCCCGTGGAGCTGGTGGCGAGGCTGGAGGAGGGCAGCAGAGCAGGGAGGTCCCTGTCCTTGTTGTCAGTGCTCCCTGCGTGCATCCCTGCAGGCTCCACCTGGGCTTGGCCCCCCGGGCACCCCTGCACCCTGCAGGGCACGCTCTGCCCCGTGTCCCGGCCAGGGGGACACGGAGGAGAAAGTGTTAATGTCCCTTCCCACAATAAACCTCTCTGCATGGGGGGTCCTGAAATCCGAGCCTCTCTCTCCTCCCCCAGCCCTGACACACGTTAATAAAAGGTTTTTAAACGCCAATAAAAAGGCAGCAGCCCCAGCTCACCAGGTCCGGGGCCCAGGGTCCTTGGGAAGGCACTTCACAAATGTGTTTTTTGCATTTTCAGGCTTTTGGCTGGTGAATAAGATTGAGGAGAAATACTCCTTCCCCTGATAACAATACAGTGAGACGCAGGATCAGCAGTGTGTGGATTAAAACCAGACGGTGCATGATTAATACATATGCTTATAGGGCTAGTCACTGTGGTTCCCTCCTCTGAAACAGAAAGGCCCTGGTGTTTTTTTTTAATTTTCCCCCCCTCGTGTGCATGCTCGTGTGTGGAGTGGGCTGTCTCAGACACTCACCACGCTGCTCGCCCGAGCCCTGCCTCGTCTCAGCGGGCGAACCAAAGCCCTGGGCTGGGAGGCTCAGCACAGGGCTTTGCTTTTTGGAAAAGCAGCGGGCGGTATCGCGCTGGATCAGCCCCGGGCACCGGGTCCTGGGCAGCTCCAGGGAACCTGCTCAGCTTTCCACGCTTGGCGTGGTTCTCGTTGTATGAGTTTTTGCCTCCTGCTCCTTGCACCACTCGCCTGGCCGTGCAGGTGGCCCCAAAGCCAAGCTTTCCTGCTCGGGAAACACAAAGCTCTTTCCTCTCTTCTCCTTCTCTCCAGTTCCCCCACCATTTGGTGAGCCACCAGCCTTTGAGTGAGCTGTTCAGGATCCTCTCCTAGTAGGCTTGGGCTAAAATTAGTCCTGTCTCGTTACTCACTGCCTGACTTCCAGTATTTCGGTCTTCTTAAGGCTGTAAGATATCTCTTGGCAATGCGTAGTAACGGCTGAGGCTTCCTGGAAAGGGAGCCCCAGGTTTCAAAGCCCAGAGCGAGCAGCGATGGGAGCGGCTGGGCTCTGCCCTGCCTCTGCAAACCAGGAGGTTTGTCCCTGCCAAGGCTGGGATCCTCCTGGGATGCCAGGGATGCAGTCCCTGTCCGAGGGGCTGCTCCGCGATGGTTTTTGGAGGGCTTTCTGCAAGGCGAGAGGAGAGGCAGCGAGACCAGGGCTCTGAGAGCACAGCCTCCTCCTAAGCAGAGAGAAAACCCCAGCGAGCAAATGTGGCTGTTTGCTCAGCATCCCTTTCCATATTCCCGTTCCATAGCCTTCGAGCATCTCCCCTCCAGCTGGCAGGAGACCGCGCTCAGCCCATGAGAGCCACAGCTTCCAGCCTGGAGCTTGGTCCAGAGAGGAAAAGGGAAACCGTGAGCAGAGACCGGAGCCCCGAGCAGGAGAATCCGAGGAGGAGTCAGCCTTGAGAAGCTCCTTCCACTCCTGCCTGCCTCGGCTCCCAGGCCAGCAGCCCCGAGGCAGCCCGGGCAGGGACATTTACACCGTGAGCAGTGTCTGAGCTCCAGCCCGGCCTCAGCCTTCCCTTGCACGTGCTGCTTTTGGGTTGTAAAGGCTAAATTAGGCTAAATTAGGGGAGGTGGAGGAGAGGCTGGGTTCAGTGCCACCTGCTTGAACTCCTCGCCCATCCCTGGCATTTCCTGGAGCTGCATCCTCAAGGATCACCGAGCAGCGTCCGTGTCACCGAGGCAGGGAGGCAGTGGAGGGTGTTTGGGTGCCTCTTGTGCTGGTGTTTTGTTTTTTTTTAAACGTGTCTTTAGTAGAAAAGTGCTGCCCCAGTGACTGCTGCTGCGTGCTGCCGGAGCCGTGCAGGGCACGATGCGGTCACTTGGCGCTGGGGCTCGCCTGCTGATGGCTCTTTAAGCAGCAAGAGTTTGGAGCCTGTTTTTTAAAGCTGAAGGTGAAGGGAACGCGCCGCAAACAAGCGCGAGGACACTGAATACAGCCCTGGAGAAATGTGCAATGTGGAATAATAGTTCAGGCTCTTAAAAAGGGTTTGGAGGGGGGGGTTAAAAAAAAAACACACACACACACACACAACAAAAAACAAGGCTGCAATAAATCTAGCCAGTGGAATCTGAGGGAAATGATCCCATCTGGAAAACTCCAGCGCTGGTGCTGCTGAAGGCTCAGGGAGCGATGCAGATTTGCAAAAAGCAAAGCCTGCAGTCTGAGGATGACAGGCCCCGTAATTGATGTCCATCGCCACTGGTACTCTGCCAGCTGATGCTGGCCCCGCTCCAGCGTGCTGTAATTTCGGGGCCAGGTGTGAAGCGGTTTTCTGTTCCGTCTTGTTCCCCAGCACCTACAGAAGCCTCACGCATCTCACTCGAGGGCTGCAGCCCTGTAGGAAACAGCTGTACAGGTAGAGGTGAAAGGAAATGTCGCAGCTGGGCTCGCGCTACTCCCCCGTGCCCTGCCTGGGGCTGCGGCTGGGGGGCCGCTCTCCCCCCCTGCCGGCTTCGGGGAGGTGGCCGCTGTCACCGGCACACCTGCCTGTCTGTCAGCGAGCTGCTTTGAACAGCGGGGAGCTCCTGGGGAGAACGGGCAGCTCAGCAAACCCGAATTCAAAGAGAAAACCCCACGGTGGCGTGCGGCAGCCCTGGGAGCGGGGAAGCCAGCGCCGGAGAGCCCCGGGTGCCGGCTGGCAGAAGGAGAGCCCCCACCCCCTGAGCCCCCCAGCTGCTGGCCGAGCATCTCTGCCTCTTCTCCCTCGGGCAACCACGGGGAACTGGCCGAGGGAACAGCAGCAGATCTTGCAGAAAGCACCCAGCCTGGGTTTCGGGAGGCTGCGAGCCCGTCGAGCCGCCGCAGGAGCCGGTTTCAGGCGCTCTCGAGCGCGTGCACCGTTTCCTCCCTGAGGTTCTTTCGTTTCGGTTTCCACTCCTCGAACGGTGCCAGGGGTTGGGGAACCCTCTGCTGCTGCCCTCACCCCCTACGAGGACGTGTCCCCAGCCCCCTGTGCTCCCATTCTCCTTCAGTAAGGCAAATGGGTGCAGTGGGCGAGCTGCGGGTATGCTTGGGGTCCCCTGAGCTGTTCTCGTGGTGCTCCTGAGCCGTGGTTCCCCTGACTCAGTGCGTGGCTCCCTCCTGCAACCCGCAGCCTCTGCTCCTGGAGGCACCACGTTGGGTTTCGGCTGTGTTAAACGCGTTTTGCTGGCTGGGCTGGGTGACCGAGCAGCCCGAGCGTTCTGCGTCGGTGAATTGTGCTCCTCCAAGATGGGGAGAGCAGGAGCCGGTGGCTAATCTGCAGCTTTATCAGCAGAGGTTCTCTTTGTCCAGGTCACCGAGCCTATTGTTAAGCCCCGAGCGAGCTTCCCCGCGGGCCCCGCCAGGACTGCCCTCGTGTTTACGCTGACATTTTAAGACCTCTGTTGACCAGATTTTAATCCGCTCTGTATCCTGTGCACTGCGGTCTCTGGGGCTTTTCTCTGCTTCTCGTCCCAGGCGTGCAGAGCGCTCGGGCTGAGGACAACTGCTGCCTGCCAGGCACCGGGCTGAGGAAACGGGGCTGAAAGCATTAAATGCTCGAGCTGAGCTTTA